AAGGGTAGAGCATAGCACTAAAGAGTAAGAAACAAAGGTCAAAAGTATCAGACACCTTTTTGAGACTCAGGATTCAGAATGGTCCCTGGATCAATCTAGGGTAGCACTTTGTCATGGTATGATATCAGATAGAAGACACTTCAGTTGCCACCTACTTTTTAAAAATTATTTAAAAAAAGGCATTGTAGTTTCATAAGAATTCTATATTGGCAATTCTTTATTTCTTGCCTATCAAAGGGTCATTCAAGTCTATCTCCTATTGCCTGCCTACATTCAGGTGAATTTTTATAAAGTTGAATTTTTGTTGTTGTTGTTATCTTTTTTTAAATTTCTTTTCTTTAAAATTCCTTTTATTCATATGTGCATACAATGTTTGGGTTATTTCTCCCCCCTTCCCCCCACCCCTCCTTTTCTCCCACCCCTCCTTCTCCCCCCAACCCCCTTCACTACCAGGCAGAAACTATTTTGCCCTTATCTCTAATTTTGTTGAAGAGAGAGTATAAGCAATAATAGGAAGGACCAAGGAGTTTTGCTAGTTGAGATAAGGATAGCTATACAGGGAGTTTACTCGCATTGTAAAGTTGAATTTTGATTCATAGCAGAGAATCTGTTCAAATCCAGAGTCCATTATAAGATTGTTTTGGAAGGATGTGGTCTCTTTTGCTTGCATGAGACTTTGGTCCAGCCTTATCTTTTGGCAGCCCTGGAACATCAACCCCAGAATAAATGTCAAACTTCAAGACAAGCCAGGGTGCTGGTCCTGGAGATGGCAGTGTGGCCTGAGAGGCTGTGCATGTAGATTGATCCTCCGAGGTTGACCAGAAGGCCTATCTTCATTTTAATTCCTTCTACATCAACCATACACATTAACACATATCCAGCATAGATCCCACTTCCTTCCTTGCTAATTATAGTCTTCTTAGTAAAGTTTTTTGAGCATTATTTTCTGTAATTTATTTTAGGAAACCATATGCTCCATTTTCTTTTCTAAAGGTAATTAAAAAATATTTTAATATTAAATGTGCCTGAAAAAAAGTGAACCCTCCCACCTCTCTCAGGTTAATACAGCCCCAACCCCTTGTCTCTGAGGCTTCCTTCACTTACACAGGTGCTGATCTGATCCTCTATATCATGAAGTGGATATTTGTCCTGACTCCTCTCAGACCACAGTCCTAGTGTTAAATGCATACTGGACACTTTTGCTTGGTGATTCTTTCTCTTCAACTTTTTGGACCTAAAACAGAACTCATTACCTTTCACTCCAAATCCATCTCCCACCTCATCCTACCTTCCTATTTCTGACCTTAATTCCCTCTGGCTCCCATCTACCTGTCCTTTGAAGCATCTCATCCATCATCACAGCCTGGTGAATTCTGCCATGATACTCATTTGGGCCCTTTGTCTATGACTAATCTTTCTGCCTTCATCTTTTTCCCTCTTTTCCATCCTGTTCACATTATTGCAAACACAGTCTTCTTCAATATCCCTTTCTCTGGGTTTTTCTTTAGCCCATGAACTCTTAATGTCTGTCTCCCATCAGCTGTAGGATCAAGTCCATTTTTCTTGAAAGTCAAGGCTTCCATATTCAGATGCTTAGGATCATCTTTTACTTCTTCCTTATATAAGCTATTTATATGTATTCATTCCTTTATTTGCACAGCATGCTATGACATGCATGGCAGTGCCCTTGTTTATGAAAAGTCAAGCAGAGAAGTCTTTACAAATGCACTTTGTGGTTTGGGAAGCTGATGGTGCTACCTAAAATGTCCTCTATTTCTCTAAGTCCTAAATCATTATCCAAGGCCTATTTATAGAGGCCCTATCCCAACCTTTTTCTGCGCACTCAGCATCCTCTGGCCTTATTGTCTGAATTCATCATTTGACACTTAGCAATCCCTATTCATTCCTCATTCAATCATGAAACACTTATACTGAGCACCTACTATGTTTTGGGGACTATAATAGGGGTTGCCTGGTATGTCAGTATATTTTGGTAGCATAATATAAACAACCACAACCCTTGTATATCTCGTACCATGTGCAGACACAGACTTACCTATATTAACTTATTTAACTCTCAAAGTATGAACTAGGCATTATCTAAATTTTATAGCTAGGAAAATCAAAGTCCAGAAATATGTAACAATTTCTTAGGGTACAAGCCAAAATGTAGCAGGGATGGGATTCGAATCAGGCTCTGGAGTCCTCACTCTTAACCTACCCCTGTTCTTCACTGTCAGGTATCAGTACATGTCATAAGTATGAACTCTGCAAGCTATGAGGAATAGGGTTATACAAGAATAGATACTGAGTTGACACTAGTGTCTTACGCCTATAATCCTAGCTACTCAGTGGGCAGAGATCTGGAGGATCGCAGTTTGAAGCCAGCTCAGGCAAATAGTTCATGAGATCCTATCTTGAAAAAACCCATCACAAAAAAAAAAAAAAAAAAAAAGGCTGTGAGTGGCTCAAGGCATAGGCCCTGAGTTCAACCCCCAATACCATTAAAAAAAAAAAAAAAGATACTGATGTGGTGCTCCGGAAAGTGAAATAAAATTTCCTCCACACAAAGCAAAATGAAACCCAAGCCATAGTATGGTTACAAGGTTCCTACATTCCTGTTTCTTATTGTAATTATTCGTATCCATTTTGCTTTATTGTCTGCAATACACATTTTGACATTAGAATCATAGATCTGTGTTCCTGGCTTAATATTTCTTTTTAAGGGCTTTATAAGTTGAAGAAGATGAACATTTTACTTGAGTGGCAATACTGCAGCTACATATGTAGCTCAATAAAACCTGAGAAGTACATATTTGAATTTTAAAAACACTCAGGTGGTGGGTTATTTGCATGTTAAAATGATCCTTCCCTTCACAAAAGGATCCACTGCAGGGTTTCATTAAATATCCAGTTCCTCTTAGTGTATTTATCATCCCATTTAACTTACCAAAACTTGATTTATATGCCTTTCTAAAGGGGGTAGCTCTCAAGTTTTAGGGAACTTGGGAATCACTTAGCAACTTACTTAAAATTCAGATCTTGCTCAAACTCCTTTCCAAATTCGAATTCATTATATCTTGGGTGGGGCTTAGCACCCCAGAGGGTACAGGACTTCGGTGAAATACCCTCTGGGAAGCATATTAACTTAAGCCCCACTGAAGGGGTTTCTCTAGGGCCTGAAGACCCCTTACTACCAAGTGTCCTGCTTACCCTTCGTTTGTATTAAATGTAAATATTAAAAACGTTTGGATCAAATCGACCTTCCATCCCTTTCCTGCTCATTCTTCTACCACAGCCAAGCATGTTAATTTCACATGTAAAATAGGTTTTTTTGGCAGTCTGGGGTATGATCTCTGGGCCTTGTGTTTGCTAGGCAAGCACCACTTGAGCCACATCCCCAGTCACAACTCCCTGTAACACCCTATTTTACTCCTGGGTTACCTTTTAGGATCTTCGTGCTTCTCATTTCTTAAAGTTGACAATGCCCTTGTGTACGATTATGTGTGGATCCGGACCTCAAGTCTACTCTCCTGTTCCCCTTTTCACATACCCCACGTGCCAGCCCCACATCCCTTCCTCTTCGTGCTCTTGATCAGGATGCTGAAGGCTCTGACTTGGTGCAGAAATATCAGGCATCACCTATAATAGTTATTTCTGTGGAGGTTTTTCTCATACAAATGTAAGGCTTTTTGTCCTTCTCTCTCTACTATTCCCCCCACAAAGACCCCAAATTAAATTTTTTGGACAAAACAAATCATGAAGTGACTTGCTTTGTCATGATTCCATCCTTCTGTGGGTATTAATCCTATTCCTAGAGCAATGAATACCCAGACTGTGCATTTAAAATACGATTATAGTTTAATGAAATTTGTTTAAAAAATAGACTCCTTGACATTTATGGCTCATGTATCTATGGATTTAATATATCACTGATCTTTTAAAAGTCAGTTGCTTGACCTATATTTTCCCTCTGATTACTTTTCTAAATCTCTAGTAATCTCCGAAAACATTTAGAGATTTTCATACTAGAGGGTTTTTTTCTCCTTTATTAATCTCCTAGATCCCTGAATTTTGCTGTAAGGTTCTCGGAGGTGATCTGGATTTTGTAAAATATCTCTAGTAATAATAGAAAGAATACAAGAACAAATAACCGGTACAGTTGGTTCGCTGTTTAGAAATCTTTTCTTTTAATAGATTTATGAGAGTTTATATGCTTCCTTTGAAGTAAGGAGTCCATAATAGCCTGTTTGCCTTCCATAGGAATATAAGATTTAGAGGCCAGAGTATTTGTTTGTCAGGATTTTGTGGGCCATTTTTAACCCATTCAGTCTGGTTAGGGATTTTCTAAGAAAACAAAAGTGGAGATCCAGTGGAAGAGAGAGTGTAGTTATCAGTGGGCTAAGAAAAGAGTAACAAGAAAAATAGTTTTAGGTCATCTGAGCAGCTCTTGCCACCAAGAACTTATCTGGTACGTTCAATATGATTGATTCAATTTATATAGACTACCGTACAATCACTATCTAGAAAAATGTTTATGGTAATCTCTGGTTGGACTGATTTTGTTTTTCTTTTTATTCTTCTGAATTTTCCTATGTTTCTACAGTGAGCATGTATTACAACTACAACTAGTTTAAAAGAAAGAAAGAAACCTTCTTTGGCTGGCATCTTCAATCTCCTTCCCAAGGTCCTAGTCTTAACAGATCTATCTCAAGTCTACCAGTTGCATGAAATGATGGTAAAAGGAAAACTCTGGGTATTAGGCCCAAAGCAAACAAAAGACTGTCATTTAGATCAGAAAGCCAGCTTCTGCCTTGCGACAGGGAGCCTTGTGCGGTCGGTCAGGGTTTGTTGCATGCCCCTGAATTTGTGTGTAAGCCCCTGTCACACCTCCTCCTACTCAAGAGTTAGCAGAAAGTTGCATTGCATTTGGTATTTTAACTTTGTTTTCTCTCTTTTTTCTTTTCCCTTTCCCTTTCTCCCCTCTTCTCCTTCTTCAGGCCTCTCCCACCTCATGATGAGTGAACAAGGTAGGTGCTTTGTGCTGTGGTCCTGCAGCTGCCCGAACTGCTTGCCTGTGTGCCTCTGGCTGGTCACTCAGAGCCTCCTTGCTGGCAGGCCATTTGCTGTCTGTCCCTCCTGCTGTGGGCCAGGCTGGCAGCAGAGCCTCCCTGCTTGCGGGGCGGGGGGGGGGTAGGGGGGGATTTGGCACCTTTCCTGATGCACCCTGGTGTCCCACCCCCCACATCCTCCCCTGGCTCCTCCATTCTCCGTCACCATTTGTCATCTGGGCACTGGCCCTGCTGGGCTGCCTCCAAGAGGGAAGCATGAAACAAGCATGACGCGTTGATAACGGGGGTGAATGAAGCTAATTTCAGAGCAACCAGGCGGTTAACTTCCTCCTGCTCCTCCTCAGGCCCTAGGCTGGGCCCCAGATTGGGGCGAGTTGCTGGGCTTCTCCCTGAATTTCATTCTGGGTAAAGGTTTGCTTTTTGTGTTCTCCTCCATTCCATTGCCCATCTTAATGGTGCTCTGCCCTCCCTGGTCAAAGGAAGCTCTTGGGTTCTTGACTATTTTCAGTTTTGTATAAAGCGAAAATCACAGAAAGAACATGCTAATGTTCTCATGGCAAGATTCTAACTCATTATACACCCTGAAGAAAACTGCATATAAAGATCTGTAAATTCAGCATCTGCAACCTAAAATATTCAAATATGCAGGGAAGGAACTGCGCAGGAAATTCAGCTCAGCTAAGCATGGGGTGGGCTGTGAACGAAGCCTTTTTCTCCTAAATAAAAATTTTCTACATTATCAGCTCAGATTAGGATTTGAGAACTGAACCTACTTAAAATTGTCTTTTCCTTTGGTGTTCAGTTGCTACCATTGTGTTTCTTCTGGGCCTTTGATGACTGCAAGAGAAGTCTACCTGTCATGCCGTATCACCAAAAGACTGTTCTTTAATCTTGCTTGTCTGTTTCTTGTCAAAATACACATGCTTTTTTGGAAGACCAAAGAAAAGAGGAGGGGGTTACGTCCTAATGTTCATGCTTTTCTTGGTCTTTTGAGGAGGGTAGAACAGCCCTGGTGGCCATTTGCCCTCCTCTACTCTCTTACATTGATCCCTCAAATGGTTCTACCATAAAAAGCACAGTTAGGTCAAGAAACCACCCAGGAATAAAAGAAGATAGTTTATGGTGTCCAGGCATTTGTGCAGGCAGGCTGTTGATGACATTACAGGTTGATAAGGTAGGGTGAGGAGGAAATCCCCTTGTCCAATAGAACCGTCCATCATGAGTCAAGATGTATGATGTGCACTCCAGAGGTTTTGATGAAGAGATGGTTTGGTAGACAGCAGACATCAAAGAATTGAACTGAAGAGAGAGGGTCAGGTGAGTTCTCTAGTATTAGATGAGGCTCTTAAAGAGCCTGAGATGAAACCTGTCTGGTCTTGTAGGTCATTGGGGAAGCAAGTGTAAGCAGCAAGCACTGTGAAGTAGGTATGAGTAGGAGATATGCTTAATGTGGACCTGGTGTTTGAGAAAGTTAGGTACTTCTCTGTGAAAAGAGAGGAACTGAGCCCGTGAATTGCTAGAATTTGGCCCAACTTTGATGACAAATTATGCTAGAAAAAGCAGAACTTTAGACTACTCATGGCAGGACCTCCTTCTATATTCTCTTGTCTTGTGCTCTTAGATAACCTTCAGGAGTTGTCCCAGCACTTACCATGGCTTGGAGTATTGTGTACATCGTACAGCTGATATAACAGGGCAGATGGTACAGGTTGATAGGAACTTCCTTGATCCTGATTTAACTTATTTAAGATATACTAACATAGAAAGGCTAAATCTCAACATTGGTAGGAAAAGCATTTGGACAACCTACATTGTATAACTTACCCAGCATTCACATGTACATTTGTGATGCAACCGTGCTCCAAGTAAATAAATCAGTTACCTTCTAGAGGAAGGAAAGGAATAATGACACACATGGATTTTTTGAATCCCTCTTCAGAGGTGTTTTAAACAAATGATGCAGAGTTCTTCTGGATGATGGTGCCACTAAGATTTTAAGTTGCTCCTTGTGGCTTAATCTGTTTTAAGAAGGCCCTTTGACTGTGTTCCCCTTCTTTTCATTCTTTCCCATCTCCTTCCTCCTTGTCCCTTCTTGACCTTCTGATGACTACCTTAAAAAGCAATAGTTTTCCTAGTAATACTCCCTTCCTTCTCCTAATTTCTGCACATGACAGAAAGGGGCTTCTGTCTGGTTCCCACTGAATTTCCACAGTTTGTTTTTGATGACCATAAGTGTATGTGGGAATATTTGTTTATGGTGTGTGTGATATGTATACTACCCTCTTGGTCCTCATGACTGGCATTAATGTTGGGAAAATACAGGAGAACTTAGTTTCCTAAGTTCCCTAAACATTCTTGTAGATGGGTTAAGTGTGCGCAGTATCACCTCCACCTGGCTGAGGCAGTGCATGCTGACTTTGTCATATTTCTAAGGATGAGACTGGGAAGAAACGAATGGGATGAAGCTTAATCATGAAGCTGATGAATGCAGCCTGGCTGGCCCCAGTGTTTACTGCTTAAGCTTCCCATTGTGCTTTTGCTTTGTGCTGCTGCCTCAGGATGTTTGCTGTCCACTGTGAGACTTGTTACATATCATGTCTCCATGTGTCTACAATGTGCTGATATTCACTCTCCTTTCTCTCGCCCTCTCTCACCGCCTCCATGGTGGACACCATGCTTCTTCTTAACTGGACCTTCCACTTCCTTTCTGTAGGTAGAAGTAAAGGTAGAGATCGCTTTATTTTTTATCATTATAACTATCTGCCTTCTGAATCATTCATGTATGCAAGGGGAATTGTTGATTCTGATTAATACAGTCCAGATTAGAACTTAATGCTTTTAATAACTTAAAAAAAGAAGCTGTTGCTACATTCCCCTTCAATGCACTTTGAGTTCCATGTTTGAGGATGGGTTTGAATGGGCTTGCCTCCCTCTAAATCCAGGATGAGCCCTTATATATGATGCCAGACTGTTCCCAGAGCAGGAATAGGGGCTGTGGATGTGGTTATGCAGTGTGGAGAAAATGCATTTTACTTCCATGCAGTGAAATGTTTTGAGCAAACAGAGGAGGTGTGAAATGATGTACCACTGTTGCTGTTACTTGGATATAACTGGAAATCTGGGGTAACATTGCTAAGGGAAAGGATGATGGATGAAAAGGGTAGAGCACTGGCATATGGCCTGAAATTTTATTCGATGTGGAATTTGGGGCTGTTTGTTTATTGCTTGTTTTTCCTTTGTGATGTATTGTCTGTATATGTGTGAGTTGGAATTTTTTGGCTGGGGTGATACACTAAGAAGGATGGGACTGGAGGAGGGTGGAGGAATGCAGGAGTGAAAATGCATTGCACTGTAAGGAGGATGAGGAGAAAGAGGTAATGCTGGATTTTAATGTGGAAGTCAGCCTTTTAGCAGGTAAGCAGGGAGAAGGAGAGGCGCTGAGCGGGTGGGCTTGCTCTGATGTGCTGAAATGCCTTGCAGTGTTTCACACCTTTGGGTAGCACAGATCACTCATCCATTCCTAATCAAAGCTGTCAGAGACTTGAGCCTGGAGAACCTGGCTCGCCAGCTCAAATTGGATTAGCTGTGCAGGAGTGAAGGGAGAGGTTAATTGATAAATTATAAATATGTATTTGCATCTAGGTCTCCCTTCCTCCTTCCTGGCTCTCTAGCCCCTGTATTGGTGATGGTGTGCACTGTTGCTTCCTTCAAAAATTGGCGAATAACAAAAGTGGGAAGTGAGGAGAAGAAGAAAAGAAGGGGCTGAGGCATGAGTAGGTGAAGGAAAGAAAGGGCTGTCAAGCTATTAAAAATGCTCATTTGAGGGCTAGCCTCCAAACTGACCATCTTTCATTTGAATTTTATGCTTTTTCTGGATGTTGAAAAAGCATATGTGTGGTTGGCTTGGAAGCAGTTCAGCCCTTTCTGCTTTGGGGTAGGTTGATTGCCTGCTTCTTTTATGCTAATCCCAGGTGGGTTCCTTCTCAGAAATCTATCACAGGGAACACTTAACCCCATTGCTGGGTTGGTGCCATTTGAAATGAGGGGGTGGAAAATGAAGAAGAGTTAGAGGAAGAATAATTAGAAGGGCACCCTTGCTGTACCTCTGCCTCTACTGATACCACACAATGGAAGGCTGCCCAGAATCTCCTTGTAGGCAAAGCCACCCATATGCCTAGGGCTCAGACTTTTGGAAGCACACAGTGCCATTGACTTGGCCCTCCTCCCATTGGCTTCTACAATGAATTAGAGTTTGTCTCTTTATCTTTTTCTTCTCTCTCTCTCCCTTCCCCTCTCTTTCTCTAATCTCCTACAGTATCCCTTAAAATAGGTGTCTAGTTTTGCACATGGTATCTTTCTTTTGCTGGGTTATTGCTGCTACCATGCCTAGCAGCAGCCAACACTTAGGGCATGTGCCTTGTGTGCCAGTCATTGTGCTATGTGTTTTGTGTGCCTTACCACACATACACTCACAACTCTCTTCTGAGGTAGGTGTTGCATTGTCCTCGTTTTGTGGATAAGGTTAGCAAGCCTCAGAGAATTAATTCAGGTAGAATCAAACCCAGGATCTGAGTTTCTGACCTCTATACTGCCCTTCTTGGATCCAAGGATGACCTCCATGCACATGCTGTCTACCTCCCAGGCACTTAAGTTCTGGTCTGCCACCTTGCATTTAATGTTACATATGTCCATATAAATGTCACCTAGTACTGTCACCTCATATGTCCAGAGTCAACCTTAATGTAATTTGTCCACAAACAAGTTTCCTTTTATGATGCCCCTATTTTTTCTTTTTTATTTATTTATTTATTATTATTCATATGTACATACAATGCTTGGGTCATTTCTCCCCCTGCCCCCACCCCCTCCCTTACCGCCTACCCTGCCCCCTCCCTCTCCCCCCACCCCTCGATACCCGGCAGAAACTATTTTGCCCTTATCTCTAATTTCGTTGAAGA